CGCTCGAAACCATCTTGATCGTACGCACGGCATCAAGGTAAAACCACAGCAGTCACAGGTTGTGACAAAGGGACAGGCGAAGCTTGAGCAGATTCTGCGACGGCAGGGCGAGAAACAACAAGCCCAGAATGATGAACGCGAGCGAAAAGTACTCAAAAACGCTATCAATACCAAGGTCTTCGAAGAATCTCTATTGCAGCTTATCGTTAACAACAATCTTCCACATAAGTTAGTGGAGTATCCGGAGCTATACTTTTGATCACGAGTGTCAATTATATGGCAGCAGATGTTTACCCAAAGTCTCGAGCCATGATACCAAAGAAAATGGACCACTCCTTTATACGGACGAAAGCTGAAATAAAACAACAACTCCACTCCGCACTTTCTGAGATACGTCTTGCCTGTGATGTCTGGACAACTGAGTATAAGAAGAAGGCTTTCCTAGGCGTTGTTGCGCACTTTGTTGATGCCGAAGGGAACTATCGCAAAGCTCTTTTAGGCCTACCACAGTTGCTCGGAAGTCATGGCGGTCAACTCCAAGCAGAGCATGTGAATAGGATGATAGACTGGTATGAGATTGCTCATAAACTTGGATATTATACCGGTGACAATCATGGCTCCAACGACAAGTGCTGTCGCTTTATCTCAAGCCATCTTCAGCAACGATATCAAGTTGATTGGGATCCAGAGGTTCACCGGATTCGCTGCCACGGCCACGTCATCAATTTGGCTAGTCAAGCTTTCATTTTTGCTCCTGATAAAGAGACGATTGATGCGGTAGTGAATAGCATTAGACAAGAAGGGGGGTCTCTAGATGAAGACGATCTGAATGGTAGTTTTGATGAGGATCATGAGTATGATGAGGAGGCCAGGCTTTCAGCAGCGTCAAAAAAGAAGAAAGGGCTTAGTTGGAAGGATGCTGGGCCGCTGGGAAAGCTTCACGCGATTGTCGCTTATATGAGAAGTTCAGAACTTCTCTACAACGAATTCCTTAATGCTGTGGGTCGCATGATACCTATGGACAACGATACCCGATGGAATAGCTGGCATACTATGAATACAGTTGCTTGTGAGCTTGAAGGCTATGTCGATACCTTTGTCAAGAACCACTGGAAGGCGATCGGGAAGCACGCACTTACACCTGACGATTGGGAGACTCTGCGCGAGATTATCGTCTTTCTTAAGCCTTTTGAGAAAGTTACGACGGGAACTCAATCCGACCTCGATTCCATTGAGAAAACCTTGGTGACAATGGACATCCTTGTTAAGCACTTGGAGAAGCAGAAGAACAAGCATGCAAACAATGCCCAGTTTCAAAACGCAGTTCTAATGGCTTGGTATTCCTTCGACAAGTACTACAGCCTGACCGATCAGGTACCAGCTTATGCTGCAGCTTTGCTTCTGCATCCTTCAAGGCGAAAGCGCTATATTGATATGAATTGGAAGAAGTCTTGGGCTAGAGCAGTACTGCCAAAGCTCAAGAATCTCTGGGAAGAGAAATATGCTGTGATCGACGAAGCTAGTGCTCTAACCTTGTCGCAACCGACCTACGAGCCGGACGAATATGATCTTCTAGAGCGAGATCTGAACGTGGTTCAAAAGTTCGCCGACGATTGGGAGTCTTTCATCGAAGCCGATCCTACCGAGATCTCTACTAAGACTGCGCTGGAATGGTGGTGTCAAGAGCAGCAACGAACATGATACCCACGACTTTCTCATATGGCAATCGATGTCCTTTCCGTACCAGCAATGTCAGCAGAAGCAGAGCGAGTCTTCTCGGGCGCGCGACGTCAAATACCATGGAGCAGGGCCAGCTTGGGAGCGAAAACAATTGAGCAGATGGAGTGTCTAAAACACTGGCTACGGAAGGGCTGGCTTGACGAACTCAACGTCGATCTACCTCTAGAAGAAGGCGAGATAGAAGTAGCAGACGAAGTAGGGGCTGAATGCAGCGGGTTGCAAGAGACGATGGATTTCACTTAGAAAGCCTTATCGTTCCCAGCCAAGGACCTCAATATATTCAATATTCTCAATATGTTTTCAATATATTCAATACTCAATACCCAATACTCAATACTCAATACGGACTTTTTCAATATTGATCTTTTTCAATATGAGGTCATATTGAGTATTGAATACCGAATACAGCACTGTTGTGCAGTATTTCGTAGGGAGTTCGGTGTTACGACATGGATGGCATTTCTTAGCATTTCCGGGGAGTTCACGACCACATTGGGTACAAAGGAGCTGCCAAGTATCGTAACATCTGGAACTACGGCGCAAAGACTGCTCCACGTTCTGCAGCTCAGTTTCTAAGTCGTCCAAGATCCGCTGAATTTGCCCAGCTATTGACCCTGAATAACTCAGTAACAGCACAATAAATCGAATTCCCTTATAGCCCACCGATTACACGGAAGGGAAGTATTGAGCACAGTTCTTCCTTCTCCCACTCTGCTGAGAACTTCGGGGTCAATTGAAGGATCGCTTTCCGGGATATTGCTTTAAACTCCATGGGGTCGTTGAACATGTATGCAGCCAAAATTAAGTACCCAAGCTCGTGTGTAGGATGTTCCACTCCCGTCGCATGTCGGAACCAAGCCGGTATCCATGGACCCAGGGCCCCTGTACAATCGTACAGACTTGTCGTCAATATTGTATTGATTGATAAGAGGTGTATTGACATGGGAATTGATTAGCTTGCTAGTATTGGTATTGAATTGATACCAAATTTGTGACTTTTGCCACCTAGTTATTTCGGTTACGTGTGTAGCTCGCCGTCACCATCCTGGTCGCTATTCTCATCTGCTTCTAGTACATCAGTAACCTCATTATCTTCGAGTGATACGTACAACACCCGAATGAGATCATTCTTGTTCCAATTGCCTAGAAGCTCTGTCATCTCCACAATCAAGGCTCCAAGCCTTGCCCTATCCCATGAGATTGTTCGTCTGACACCTGAGAACACGCGCTCTGCCTCATCTGACATGGGCGGGATAGATAGGATGTCTATTGCCATTCGATGAAGACGAGGGTACTCTAGTCTCTGCTCCTCTTTACACCACCATTCAAGAGGGGTACAGGCAATCTTGTGTGGTGGAATTGTCACAAACCTCTCAAACTCATCCTCGTCGTCATCCTCACCAGTGACATCAAGCTCCTCTGCTAGTTTCTCAAACTCCGAGAGTTCACGCTCAGTCTCCTTCTCTTCTTCTACGTCTTGGACTTGTAGGTCCTTGTACTTTGCCCATATCTTCCTCGCGGCATCAAGCGCTGGCTCAACCCAGGATGTATCCCAGTTTACAGTGATGTACTTCTTACGGCGCATAGGATGGAGAAGGAGTGCTGTACCGTATGCAGGCGCTTCGTCAGAGGAGTTGTAGTACTTTGAGAGAACATACCATCCCATATTGATAGAGTTTGACATATGGGAGTTGCCGGCGTATTTAACCTAAACTTATTAGCACTCGTTATTTACAAGCGATTTGTTTTGTTGGTAATATGCCTTTGCTTGTTCGTAGTGCTTAAATAATACATCCATGGTGTAGAGAGACTGGTCAAGAGATGACCATTTCGACTCTTGGATAAGTGTCGCTTGAGCAAACGGTTGTAAGAATTCAAGCGTCATCTTTAGAGTCTCCCAATCCGCAGGTGAGAGCGCCAGAGAACCAAGCTTTTTATGATGTTTTTGGCAAAATATCATCAACTTATCCTGCTTCTCAATAGCTACTTTGAGGAGGTTGTACCATGAATTCCAGCGAGTGGCATTATCGATCCCGAGTGCCCTGCCTGCTAACGCCTCCCACTCGTCTGAAAGTAGTGTTGATGAACGAATAAAGACAGCGATCATATGAAGGTTCCCAAGTGCACCAATAGACTTCCATCCAGCTTCGTCAGTTCTCCTCTGTTTCGCTCCTCTCTTGCCTTGCTTCTCACGAAGCTGCTCTTGTAAGGCTTCTACAACAGTAAGGTCTGCATCGTCTTTTATGGCGTCAATTGCAGCTTGTAATGCTTCGACGGTGGTTGCAAAGAGAAAGGCGTCGAGAGAGAGGTTGATTGTATGACCACTGCATCGAACGCGGCGTCGCTTTGGATCGAATTCAACTCCTAATTTTGCGAGCCCTTTTGCAAGGGCTGCAACACAGGTGTCATTGCTTGAGGCATTGTCTCCGACGATATAGCCAGTCTTCTCCGCGATATTATACGCTTGTAGAGTGTCAAGGATGTGAGAAGCCAGTGTCTCGCCACTATGGGAGAAGCGCACTTGTGGTAGCGCGAGAAGTGCCTTTTGAAGCTTGTATTCGCTGTCAACAAACTGTGCGCATATACCGAGGAACGATTTGCGGTTTGGTGACGACCAGAGGTCAATACCGTAGTGGATTTGGGAGACCGCGCCTTGAAGACGAGCTGTAATAGTTTTACGGTGAGTAACAAAACTTCTTTTGATGTGGATTGGAACCGTTGTATGCGATTCGATAAGGAAGTCTTCAACCTCTGGGTTGATAGACATTAGGAGCGCTTGATACTCTGCCCATTCGACGCAATTAAAGGCCATCCGGCGGCGCGTAATAAGCTGAGTCTGGGCTTCGATAAAAGCCTCCTTATTAATAGCGTTTCTGAGTATTTTTTTAGACTCAATAGCATCCTTATCCACCCTCTTCTTTGTAGCGTGTTGGAATGAGATATCAAGGGCGATTTGGCGTGCTTTCTTGCCCTTTAACTCTCCCACTTCTACTTGTATCTGATGCTTTGCATTAAGGTGCTTTCGTGCATTACCGCTAATAGCTGTAAAGTGGATTGGTCTTGACTTGCAGAGTGCGCAGTACATTAGTGATTGTCCATCGCTTGCTTTCGTCTGTTCCCCTCCATTTGGCTCCCGGTAATAACACCAGGTTGTATCCGCACGCCTCTTTCTCTTCTTAGCGGTATCTGTACTAGCTTGTGGGGTAGATAGCCAATGATTGGGTAGGGAGAAGACATCAGGAGTAGGTGTCGTAATCGCACTAGGAGTAGGTGTCATGGACGGCGTAGACAGTGGGGAGGAAGATGTAGTTCGCATTGACTGGTTGAGACTGTTTCGGTGAGTAAAGGGTGCCATATTGGCTATCAAAGTGGTGGCGGTGGTTGTATAGAGTTTAAGACAGAAGAGATTTCAACATTTAATTGTGGGGAAAACGCGTAAAAAAAACGCGGTTTCGCGCTTCACGTGATTTCGTGAGTATGGACTGATATATATTGAATTGATAAGGTATGTATTGAGATGGGTTAGAACACTGATATTGATATGGATTGATATATGGATTGATAGGCTAGTATTGACGACAAGTCTGATCAAACCCAAGACTGCATGCTTGCTGGTTACGTAGGCGGCTATATTCGGAGCTCCAGTTACTGACCCAATACTTCCAAAGACGATAACGGACCCTGTTACCAACTCGTGCCTGTCTACTGCGCCAACCATGTAGCTGAGCTGCGCACGGACCAGATTTAGTGTCCCTTGCACGTTGACTTGTTGAGCAAAGGCAAAGTCATCGTCGGTCACTTCCCATATGGGCACCTTTCCAGATTCTTTTGGGTGCACTCCTGCCGTGTTGACGGCTCCGTCCAAGCGGCCGAAGGTACTAACGATGTCGCTAATCCAAGCGTCCACAGCACCCCGATCGCAAATGTCCGCGACACAGCTGAAAACTCTGTCTTTACCAGCAATGATCTCCAGCTTATTCTCTGCTGACTTCAAGCCCTCTATGGAGATATCCGTAATTGCCAGCCGGGCACCGAGCGAAGCGATATGGTGAGCGACAGCATATCCAATACCCGATGCTGCTCCCGTCACAGCGAAGACTTTGTCGGCAATAGGGGCCATGTAGAATTGAACTGGAAGGTTTAGAGTAAATCTCTCAAGCCAACCTTTACGTACAATGTGAATATAACCATGGAACTCGAAGATTCTACGTCACTGCATGGCGGCTCACGTCATCGTTCGGGTCCGACACCGAGACCGAAACCGAGCCGTGATGCATGGACAGCCTGTGCTAGTGCGTATTTACGAAACAAACTCCGTGCTTGACTGTGGTCGGAGCTTGGCTGGCCTGGGCGATCTTTCGCGACCGGGCGTATTCTGTAGTACTGAATACGCAAGTGGGGGCTACCGTGCGTGATCAGCCGATGAGCCGGCTCACCCGATGAGCCACCCCACCAACATGAGCAGAAATTGAAAAATGAGGCTGTACAGCCACCCGTAGTAGCTATAATCATGAGATTTTGTAGAATAATAGTAATTAGATGCTTGCGATTAACATGTGCTACTCAGAATACTTTTTGGGGGTCTGTATAGATCGCGTTCGTGTTGTTTTTAGTGGAGCTGGTGGTGCAGCCTCAACAGCAATAGCACTACCCCCAACACGCCTAACAGTCCTCACCTTTGCTACTCTTGCTATAGGAGGCTTTAAAGCTGCTCTCTTACCTCTTGGGGACAATTGTATTGCCTTTGCAGCGTTTTTTTCTTCCTTTTCTTGTTGTTTCTGGGCCCTACGCGCAGCTACTTCATCAGCCCTCAGTTTTCACTCCTTCTCCCTCGCCTCCTTTGCCAACTGTCGCGACACCTTTGCTTCTTCTGCCATCTTCTTTTTCTATAAGGCAGCAGCAGCTTTTAACTCTTTATCCCTAGCTTTTCTAATCTTTTCTTCCTCCTCTTGTTGTTTTCTCAGGCGCTCTTTTGCCTCAGCTACCCTTACCTTCCTAGGACTCCAAAACATAAAGCCACCATAGTATTCCTCGTCCTCTCTAGGGGCTATAGTGATACTCTTCCTATTGTGCTTCTTTTTGATAGAAAGAGCTGTACGTAGCCCCTTGTTTTCATGGTGAAGAAGCTCAATTTGGACCTGCATGGAATGGAGTAAAGAGCTCAGCTTCCGGGCCTCAACTGTAGTAGTATCCTTCACCGCAGCTTCGAATAAATAACGCAGCTGTCTCCAGCTACTCCAATCATCCTCCTCCTGATTCTCTGGATCCTCCTCTTGTCCTGAAGTTGTATTGTTGAAGCGTTTTAGGATCACTTCAGCATTTGGTAGAGAGATCCCTGTAACTTCAAAGCTCTTCAAAACACGACTTTCTGTAAAGAAGTCCATCCAGGCAGCCCAGAAAAGGGTGAAGAAGTCCTCTTTTCTCATGCCAAGGAGTCCTTGGCTGTTGTGAAGGTATGTTGTAAGCTCCTTTGAGTAAGAAGCTGAGAGCGGCCCAAAAAGCACCACATCCAGGGGCTGAAGAGTATGGGTTGCATGAGGAGGAAAGATAGCCAGGAGAATCTATTGGCGTCGCAAAATTTGATAAAATCCATGGTAACATAAGATCCATGGCCATCAACAATCAGGAGGCGCCATCTTCTCCTCGCTTTCTGCTGGGTACTCCTATTGAACACCTGTTCAAGCCATGCCAATCCTAGGTTGTTGTTGGTCCATCCAGTGGGTGAGTTACTCAAGAAAACTAGGTGTTTTCCTACCTCAACGTCCTCTACCCAGCTAGATTGCAGCCCTGTTTTCCCTTCATAAATAAGCGCTGGAGGTAGGGCTACTCCATCAGCACCAACGCAAGCCAGGACGGTTATCCATTCCTTAGAACCATCTTGCAGCGCAGCAGTGACCTCTTTTCTAGCCCACAACGCCTTAGAAAAGACTCTCTTAGACCGTCCTGTAATGCCAATAAGGAACCCCTTTTCATCCATATTATACACGTTCTCTGATTCGACTTCGTACTCCAGCATCTTTTGATGGAGTAGATCAAAGTATAAGCTATACTTATTGTAAGCATAGGGTGGTAGTAGTATAAGGTCACATGAATGAGTGTATCCTTCTGTGTATGTACAAATGTGTGATCTGAGCTCTTAAGTAGTCGGACGCATTAGTCATGCCTGCAGAGCAGTCATGTGATGCGGTCCTAGGCTTACACTTATACTTTAAATTAGCTTTGTGACGTACCCAGTCTATACCAGTGGTCCATTTTGATGTAAGATAGGCATGATTTCTTTTCAGAAACCTTGAAACCCAGCAGCGCCCCACCTTCTTTTTCGCTACTATACTGGCGAAATTTTGTATCATTTCTCTTGTAGGGGGTAACCCTCGCTTTGTTAGAGCTTCAATATATTTTACAAGCTCAGATTCTTGTTCCTGGTTAAGTTTTCGGCGTTGTTAAGCTTCTCCTGCATTTGAGCGCGTTACTCCTTGATGCCGGCGAGATAGCGTTGCGCGGCTAATATTGAACTGTTCTACGACCTTTCTGTACGAAAAAGATGCACTAGGAGCGCGCGATTCGATTGCTTCAATCGCTGCTTGAATTAGGTCCATGTTGGTGGAGTTATGGTGGGCTAGAGGGAGGGTGGATGGATTTGTGATTATGGTGGGGTGGCTCATCGGCCAAACTGGCTCATCGGCTGCACGGACACTCTAATGAACCGTAGCTCCAAATCCTCGAACATCAATGACGATCCTTCTAATCGCCGTTTAATCGCCGTTTAATCATCGTACTCTAAGATTCAGCATAAAAAATGTGCATTTTGTTAAATCAGTAGCAAATCCCGCTTACAACTCGATTCATATTGTTCACTCGCCATGGAGCCCTTCCGATTGATCCTTGCCAATAACGGCACCGTGACAGGTGCTCACTCGATCCCGTCTCCTTTTTCGTCGTCGGTCCACCATCGGCCGTTAATCATAGGCCTCCACGGCGGATGCTACGACCACCAGTACTTCGATGCCTTGCCAAGATATTCTGCTTCCGTAGCAAGCAAAGCCTTTGGAGTTCCATTTATCACGATTGATCGTCCCTCTTACGGTGGCACAAGTTGTGTCCTGCCCATCCCGGAGGGCTCCGACTTCACTCAAGAGAGTGCCAAGCTACTGCACCATTTCATTCTTCCTCGACTCTGGACTGAGTTTGGCGCACCAAATGGCTGCAACTGCATCGTGCTGTTATCCCACAGCTTAGGCGTCATGGTGGGCGTCGCGGTGAGTGCGATGCATGCTCAGGATGGAACCCCTCCATATCCTTTCGGTGGGCTTATCGCAAGCGGCATGGGCGATGTCCAGTCAAAGGTCATGAAGGGCACCATTCCGTCTTACCCTAAGGTGGATGAAAACCACGGACTGTGTCCAGTGGGACCAAAGGATGCCTTAATGTTCAAGCCCGGCACCTATGCGCCAGAGATTTTGCATGAGAGCGAACGCCTGAACGCGGTTTGCCCTATCCCAGAGATCGTCGGGTTCGCAACAGAATGGATGCCTGTGTGGAAAGAGAAGTGGGCACCACTTGTAAAGGCACCGGTTATGTATTCATTGGTTGAAGATGATCCGTTCTTTGAGGCCGATGAGAAGGAGATCGATCGTTGTGTGCGCGCGTTTACGAATAGTGTACGTGTGGATGGAAGCCTACTGCGCAGCGCTCCGCACTGTGTTGAATTGAGCTTTTGGGCACAGGGATGGTATGCTCGATGCTTTGGATTCGCAATGGAATGTTCTGTTAGCTTTTCTGTCAAGGAATAGGAATGAATAGAGCATGACGATAGAAAGCGGTCGAAGTGTCCATACAGCCAGGAGCTGATATATCGCCACTTCTCTCAGCACGAGTTGAAGATCATGGGGTTACAGCAGCATCTCTATCAACATAGCGCACGCTTAACAATGCAATTCCCAGCGCAAATGCGCAATCCACCAAAAGCAAACCATTTAAGCAATGGCATGTCAAGTTGTACGAAAGAGGAGGTCGGTTTCTACTGGAAGCCATCGGGCTTGACCCGTTTGTACAAGATATACACAGTCTAAGTTGATATTATCGTGCTTTGACAAGCCCTTAGTATGAACAAACGTAGACGAGATGACCTCTGTACTCTCCCAGTCATCAATTTATCGTCACCAGCCAGAAAAATTGTGAAGAGTCATTGGTTGTGCGGGCGATTAACGGGGCATTCGTCTTTGCGGGTTGTTGTGGCCGCTTGCGGGTTCGTCGGTCACAAGTTCATGGATTTACGTGAAGAGTCGTGCACGACATGACATAACTTTGAGCAGCCAGCACACACTTTACTGTATGCAGTCTTGGACGCCCAAGCTCCTCTGAGATAGCAGCTTTTCCGAGCAGCAACTTTTCAAGCACGCAATCCCCGTCAAACAGATGAAGGCTAGACTAACCATAACTAGCAAGGCGTCTCTCTCGCGATCGCGAACGAATAGCCAAGAGATACCCGCAACTCATCCCGGAAGTCGTCCTAATTAGGTAAGTAGGAACGAGAGAACGGCCATTTCGAACGTGCACCCTCCTACCCACCGTGCGCTCCCATAAACTATCACTAGTTAGTCACCACTTGCCCAAGGTGGGACCCGCTGGAGAAGGAAAGGGATCTCGAACAAATTTACAAACACCGAAGATCCCTTCAACATTGAGCTCTTCTTAGCTACAAGTGAGAAACCCAGCCTTCTAATGATTAGAACTTTGAGCGATCAGAATTAACGTTCGGAGATTGTGTTACAAATGTTTAGGCTGTTAAAGATTGTGCATTGGAATGGTATGTCATTAGCCTCTAGGGGGCATATGTCAAGGTTTGCCTGAGAGGGCGACTGATGGCACCGCAATACCCATATCCAGCCTTGCGAAGGCACAAGCGGAAGGTCGCATGAATCAGGAAGGGCTTGTTCTTCGCATCAACAGCCTTCGGAGTTTGCTGCTAAACGCCATTCTGTGACCTAATCACGCTAGTAGAGAAGGGCCGCGTTCCACATGATGCCAAGCATATGGAGCGCCAGGTGACGTCTGACTTTCGTGACCCTGGAAGGGAGTTGGCCATGGCTGCAAATTCTACCTCTGTTGTATAAAAGGTGGAAATACACAACTACTCCAGTGTTTTTCTCACTGGAAACCCTCAGCAATCTCATCCGTCGACAATCCCTTCGCCATGCTTTGCAACTATCTTCCACTTCTATGCACTCTTTGGCTTCCTGTTGCAGTTTTTGCCCATCCCACTGCGGAGAAGATGCATCGAAAAGCTGCGAACTCAAGCATCTCGGTTTATATGGATGTCCCAGGGCCTCCAAACCTGGAGAACCTAGTGGTACGGCGCAACGGCGAAATCCTTGTGACGTCTTATGCGTCTCCGTCCATCTATCGTATAACGCCCAACACAGCTGAGGCACCCATTGCTGTTGCTCAGATTCCGAATGCTACCGCTCTTACTGGAATTATGGAGCTACAGGAGAACGTCTTCATTATCGCCGCAGCGGACCCTCTGTCTCCCGGTTCAAATGCCGTGTGGAGACTGGATATGCGTCCCGAAGAAAGCAATAACGGAAGTGCACATGCTCCTGCTCAACTCTCACTCTTGGCCCGGATTCCGTTCGCTCAGGTACTCAACGGCATGACCCGACTCGCGAAGAACGACACCTCTCATGTCCTGATCAGTGATTCAGCTGCCGGGAATGTTATACGACTCAATGTTGTCACTGGAGATTACGCTGTCGTCATTTCAGACCCCACGATGTTGCCAATATCAGACGGTATCAATGTTGGCGTAAACGGAATTCACACTTGGGGAGACCAGCTGTTCTACATCAGCCTTGACCAGGGCATTTTCGCCAAAATACCAATTTCGCTATCAACCGGTGCGGCTAAAGGTCCGGCGGACATCATAATCAATGGCACTCTGGAATTTCCGGACGACTTCGCACTTTCTCGAGATGGTCTGACAGCCTGGGTCGCTGAGAACGGAGTGTTTGTGCTTATGGAAGTGGACATTCTCGCCAAGACAAGCCGCGTCAAATTCAACAATACCTTACTCGCATCGACAAGTTCCGCAGCCCTGGGGCGCTCTTGCTCAAATTGGGACTCTATCTACATTACTGGTGCTAAACTAGGTGCAAACGGAACTGCTGTTCAGGGCCGTGTCTTCGAAGCTAAACTGGACACATTGTAAGAGCAGACTTGTCAACAAGCAATTCAAACAAACTTTCAACGCTGATTTGAGTTGTTTGAATGCAACTTACGATAGAGTTTGAGTTGTTTAGTTTGATAGTATTTTAGAAGGCGATTTGTTGGAAAGTTTGATAGATTTGATACCGTTTAGGTGTTAATCTGATCGAATATCATATAAATTACTCAACGTCGCTGTCCCACCTGCATATATTGTATATTGCAGCTATCTCAGCGTCAGTTACGTCGCTTACAACGGAATCAGATGGAGGCTTAAAGCCAGCGTCGCGCCAGCTTCGTATACATTGAATTACTGCAAGTAGATGTGACCCGATTTTGCGTCGCCGTGGCTCTAGTAGATCACCAAGCTCGCTGAACAGCCGCTCGCACTCGCAACTTGAGGCTGGTATTGTCAATATATCGATCGCCAGGCGCGCTAAGTGAGGATACTTCGGGCGTAGGCTCATCCAGTAGCTAACCAAAATACCATCTTGTTCAAATTGCTCCTGGGTTCAGCGGGGCTCAAGTCGTCGCCAACGCTCAAGTTCATCCATCTCTGTCACCTCAACAGCGCCGTAAGGCTCCGCGTTGACAAGCGCGTTAATAGTGTCGTTAATGCCGCTCGAGAGCCGCACTAGTAGGCGACTTAGGCGCTGTATTTGTGGCCTATAGAGCGCCCAAAGTTGCTGTAACCCAGCGTTGTTTGCCTCAAGCCAGCTCGGCTTGTCGCGCCAGCTGTTTTCACAGTAGCTTCTGTAGTATGGGTGGAGGCAGGTAGCGACAAAGTATACGGGTGAGTCGTCGATCTTAGTGTAATACGCGTCGAGTTTCGCCCATGCTGCGCGCAGGTTAATAGGAAGGTGGTCTTCAGGCGCGCCGTTGGCATTGTAGTTGACGCTGTCGTAGTTCTTTAGCAGCTGCTCGTACACAGCAAGTACAGCTTCGAAGACTGGTATAACCTCGTATATCGCGCCAAAACGGCCAGCTTTGCCCCGAGCTTCTAGGCGTTTTGTCGCCTCTTTCAACGGCTCCAGCACTGATATATACTGTGTAATCACTGCCCAATCGTCAGCCGTAAGACCATTAGATCTCATCCAAGCTGGCACTTTAGGGGGCTTGTTGTTACGGCTATGCGCGTACGCGTCAGCTCCCATTGTCCTTTCAATATGGCCTTAGGCGTACTCGTTAACAGCGTTGTGGAGTTTTGCGGCGCGGACAAAGGTGTCGTAGAAGCTGTTCCAGCGCGTGACGACTGGCTTTACAGGCTCAAATATATCTTGATTTTGATCGGGAGCTTTAGCGTTAACACGGCGCTGGCAATCAGCAAAAAGATCGTGTTGTTGCGGTGTTTGGATATAGTTAATTATATCAATTAGCACCCCAAGTGGACCTTGCTGCCGCCATTCTTGTAGGTAAGCTGTCTCTGTTTTGTGCTCGTCCTGATCGTTGTCGTACGCATCCTTATCAAAGCCAAAGATAATCATCTGTCCTACTAAGTTGAGCGTGTGAGGGGCGCAGCGGAGGCGGTGATGGCTTGCTGTAAACTGAAAGCGCTTAGCGAGTTTAGTGACAGCAGTGTCGTTGGCATACGCGTTATCGAGCACAAAGTATCCGAGCTGGCTCTGTGTTATACCAAAGACGTCGATTATATTGCCAACAACTTCAGCTATTCTCTCGCCCGTATGGGCACCCGTAAGCTGAGGCAGCGCGATGGGCAGGTCCCTGATAGTGCCATCGGCGTCAGCAAAGTGAGCTACCACTCCAAAGAAGCCGCGTTTGCCGCCTTTTGTTGTCCAGCCGTCGAAGCTTATATGGATCTTACTAACAGCAGACGACAGCATCTGAACAACCTGCGGCTCCATGTAGCGATATAGCCTCATCACGAAACTAGCGACACTGTTGTGACTTACCCACAGCGCATCAGCTGCCTCTGGATTGGCAAACTCTATCATTTGCCTAAACGCAGGCGTTTCGAACTCGCGGAGGGGATGGTTGTTGTCGACAAGCTACGTTACAGCTGCGTATCGAAAGCGCTGTACATCAAAGTTTCCGAGCTCGTTAGCGACGCTTTGAGGCACCTTAACACCGCTAGCAGCCATCATCTTAAGCGTCGTTTGGCCTTGTGGTAGTGCTGCCGGATCTAGCTTGCCTCTGCGATCGTAGCCATGGCCAGGCAGCTTCTGCGCAAGGTGATTGATAGCGTTGCTAGTCGACTTCGTAACCTCTGGATAGGTGCAAAAGATCTTCCGCTGATGGCAGTATTTGCAAACAAAGTACGTACGATTAGGCTCACGGAGCGAGGCAACGCGGTAACGGTACTGATACACCCAGCTTTTGTTACGCTTTAACGTACGCAGCGGCTTCATAAAACGCGGTAAACGCTTCCAATCAATGCCATCAAAGTTGTCCGCGAACTCCTCATCGAAGCTACCATCATCCTCGCTTTCAATAGCCTCACTTGTAGCCTCTGTAGCAGCCCTACTGCCCTCAGCTGGTGGTTGTATAGAATCTTCTGGTATAGCGTCGCGCAATTGCGACTCGAACGGCGCGTCTTCGGTGGCCTGGCTTGCTGCAGCAACTAGGGCTTTACGTGGCGAGGTGCAGATAGGCAGCTCGGGCTGCAAGTCGTCTACCAAGATGGGCTGCGAATCGTCTACCGAGATAGGCTGCGAAGCACTGCCTTTGGCCGTTTTGGCGCGCTTCTGAGGGCCGCAGGTGCCCTCAGCAACGCGTTTACCCTTAGTGACGCGTGTTAGGTTACGAGGCGGCATAATTAGCGTGTAGAGCAACAAGAAACACTAAAAAGTGCTGTAGAGAGACGGTAGTATAGTTGCAATATGTAGCTAACGGCAGTATAGCAGATAGGAGACGGGCGACAGGATAGCGGACGACGCTCGTGCATATAATGACTAAGCTCACTACAACACACAAAAAAACTATCGCGAAACCGCTGCCTCTACTATCTCAAAAACCTTATTTAAATCGCTCTTAAAACACCTTAGGATAGCTATAAAACAGCTCGCTATATAATATTAGTCAAACAGTCAAACAAACTAAACAAATCGCTATCGTACGTTTAATTTGTTTGTGTTTTCTTACAGTTAGCGTTTAGTTTGTTTAATTTGCTAATAGTCAAGCAATTCAAACAAACTATTCAAACGCGTTTGCTTGATGACAAGTCTGCTTGGAAGATCTTAGGGTGGAGCATGTTTGGGGCAAACAGATGAAGAAATGAGATCTAAGCGGACCAAGTAGCTCACAATGAGAACAATGTAGAGGACAGCAATTAAAAATCATCAATAATAACAGATTGTTACAAGCGAAAGGCTTATTCAGCACCCTCGTTGACAAACAAAGCTAGGATCCGCTGCCTTCCACTCCTGCAAATAACCTGGTCACGCACTTCCTAAAACCAACCTCGCTGTAGATATGTGTATCTACAAGTTGAGAGGGGTGCAGCCGAGGTTGACGAGACCCTAGAATGTCATTGTTAGTAAATATTGTAACGGTTTGGGCCTTGCCCAGATCAACTCTAGTACGAGTTAGGATAGCTCATGTACGGTCATCTATATATGTAGCTTAGCCCACCTCAGATAGTCAATTCAGCGCAGTCCTCCCCTCTATCTTAACACCGTCACAAATATAACTTTAAGATGGTTTGGTGACTCTATTACCGTCTGCTCCATATCGCCACAGCAAACAGCCTGCTGGGAGCACAGGTTCTTGATTGGAACGGCGCCACCAAGAACGGCAACAGTGATATCGTTGCATTGGCCGAGGAGATTCTGAAGGTCGGCAATGTCGGCATTGATGGGGATAAGCCCACGGCCAGTCAACTTGTCAGCGGTCTCGTTGTTGCAGCAGTGGACAGTGCTGTCGCTGCCACAGCTATCCTGGCGGGCCACGTTGGTGGGAACGGCAACGGCGACAGCGGCAAGAGTGAGGATGATAGCCTTAGTGAACATCTTGAAGGGTTTTTGATGGGTTGGTTGTGGAGAGAACAGGGAAGTTGGAAATGTGTTTGTGGTATTTGCTTGAGTGTGGAAGTTGTCGATGATGGTGATGATGGGATGTTCGACTTTAGGAAGCCAGAGCAGGTGATATTTATACGTGACGGGAAGGAGCAATGCCTAAAGCAGATGAATCAGAAAGGATTGATGATATTCAGAAGCTTCCGGTCACATGCAGATAGATCAGCAAGACCACGACACAGCGAGACAGCACTGACCCACCAAGTAAGTCATAGCGACACTAGTTAAGGGTACTGTAGCACTGGCCGTGCTGCAGGTGTTCTAGGGGCCTGTGCATTATGCAAACAGACTTTTGGCCTAGTACAGTATTATATGCAATGGTTGAGGTGGCTCTAAATTCTAGGGCAACAGAACGGAAGAACTGCAATCCACGCCTGCCTAGCTCTCGATTTGTTCGCTGTATGTGACAGCCAATAAGGTCATCAAACAATAGACATTTACCTACGGCGAACGGCCACATCGGTTTTGAGGCATCAGTTGGTAAAGAACGCCGTGAAGCGACCTTGATTCATGGTCCCGCTGTGATGGGTTGATCGCGATCTGCGCTAGTCAGCGCGGAACTGCAGATCTGCCATACCACGGCCATGATCAGCGGCTTAGGCCTTGGCTATTTAATCGCTACTATAAATTGCGGTCTGACATAAGTCCTGTACAAAGTATACAAGCTAAATGATCATCACAATAATATTGATTGTTCCCCACAGAGAGAGCCTAACTGCGCAAATTTAAGCCATTATTGGGATCAACGCCAGTAGACCCTTAGTAAGAGGAGCAGGCAACATTTTTTAGAGTAAGGCATTGAGTAGAATGCGAACATTCAGAAAGTTGCTGATGATAGGCTGGCGAGGGAAAAGGCAAGGTGTGCCAACCATGGCGGAGGCGCAAGTTGGCACTCAATGGCTTTACAACGATGGTGATATCTTAGACATGAGCTCGGTGTCTCTAATGGCAAGTCCTAGGTTACCCCGGGTCAGTCATGGGATCCGGGGTATATAATCCCTTCCAGATCGATTCCATATCGGTAGCGATTCGTCTATCATACAATTTAATTGTATCTTCTCTGGTCCTAACATCTAAGACATGTCGCACATATGTGCTTGGCTTAGGCAAGCCCCGCTCCTGGGCGAGGTGGTGTCTCATATTGCTAAACTAGATAGTAGAATGTTGAAAAAAGAAATTGAAAGAACAAAAAGGCTCGGAAGATAATCGTCTTAGAGCGCAAGTGGAGATGTGGGTGGTTAGCAAAAGGGGCCTTCTAAGTAAACATAAGTAACATGAACTCGCATGCATCAAATAAGTACTCCAACACAAAATCTTGTGATAAAAGCTATTGTGGGTGGCTTCGCAGCCTCATTTTTAGTTGGGGTGATATGCTGTTCGCCGCGCATTGGGTGCACGGATACGGTAGGGAAGGCTGGGGGCTAAAATGAATTGATCAATCAGATTGTGGCCAGGCACACTCAAGGTCGCGTTTGGAGATGATTTGTGGATATGCCCCTGTGCCTCTGACGTCACACAAGCGGTAGAAGCGGCATGTCGTGTTGCATTTGAAGGCATCTGGCTGCGTCCAAATGGGGCGAACAGTGCCACGGAAAACTACCTTGTTATCAACCACTCCCTTGTCGAACTCAGCAGGCAGTGAGGAGAGCCTAGATAAACTTAGACCCTCCGTCATGTTTTATTAAAGGTCTGTTGGAATTCCTGCTAATCGGCTTAGTAAATGCGTTGGCCCACAAACTAGTTCCACGGAGATGTCACTGTGATGGTATTTTCTTAACGGCTTTGAAGTTTCTTAGTGCTAAAAGTCTGCAATGAGGTCACGTGCTTTTGCCGATCGTATCGTTTAGTATCAAGTACGAAGAGGCTAGCTGTGGGCGATGCACCGATGTTGGTAGTCAGTGCACTCTTGTCGGTGCATTACCCAATACTAGCCTCTTCGTACTTTCCCAAGATGAATGTCGTCTGAGCTCGATATCTTCGTCCATTTGACTCACTTCTGTCTTGTTCTAACCCACTCGCTTGCGGCTATGTCAAACCCATCCTCATCGAGCGAAGAGAAAAGTAAACGATGCTATAGTATCCTACCGCAAACTTGATTCATTGGCTAACGTCCTACGGAACACAAACCTCAACACGGGAGTTCTTTTTCTAGCACCGTAGAATATCACAGTCGATCTTCAGAACGCAAACCAGAGACTTGAGAAAAGGACAGCAAGGAGGTCGAACTTCATACCTGGAACGGATCAGATGATCTCGAGCATCCGTACGGCTCATTGTCTGTCTCGCGGTACATGGCTTATTGAAAACAGATTCAAGTGGTCTCTTACTAAGAAATGGATCCTCACGGCAACCGTCTACCTCATCTCCATCTTGATAGGTTTGCCAGCAGACGCTTATGGTGCTGCAAATGATTACACGGTTGTGGAGTTCGACGTTCGAAATAAGCTGTTTCCAAGTCTTAGCTGGGCGATTTGCAGCTGAAACACAGGCGGTGCGTTGTTTCCTCTCGTTTTCGTTCCGCTGACGGAAGCATCAGGATGCATGCCTGGCTATTTTGTGACAGTCTTACCGTCCTCTCTGAAATTCCGCTAACAATTGTCGAGGGTGCGTACATTTTTTTCGAACTTCTTCTCTTCGGTTCAGCTTTCGCAAACAACTTCGCAATTCTCGTTGTAACGCGGTTCTTAGGCGGTGGAGCATCTTCTATTGTAGCCAAAATCGTCAAAGGCAGTGTCAGTAATGTTTGGAAAGGTGATATAGTGCGAGATCTACCTATGTCGCTTTTCGGATTGACAAGCGTAGCTGGGGTTGCTCTTGGTCTATTCGTTGGCAGTGCGATCGTTCAAATCAACAAATCTAATATTGGTCTGCATGCATCGTGGCGATGGTATGTACTTTTGCTTCTCTCGGCTATCCCACTAAGATGTTTCCAGGATCTATTATGTGCAGGTCATATATAACGCGGCTTTGATACTGGTATTCTATGTCATCCTCGGAGAGATGCGCAGTGACGTAATTCTCAAGAAACTCGCAAAAAGACTTCGAATGGAGACTGGCTGAGATATCTACGCAGAGTCCGAACTCGATAAACCGTCTATCGCCAAGCTCCTGAAAATCTCGTTCATGCGGCCCACGAAGATGCTGCTAACCGAACCTGTCGCCATATCTTTTTGTAAGCCTAGGACCACATCACACGACTGCTCTGCAGGCATGACTAACGTGTCCGACTACTTTCGAGCTCAGATCGCACACTTGTACACACCTATACATCAATGCACACATATACATCAATGCACCCATACAAGAGACCCAATACTAGTACCCTCCTTGCTTACACTTTCAGTCTGTAGATCAGTTTTGCCTAGAGTATTCTCTACCTCTTCTTCTTCTCCTCCGCAGTTCAGACTTTTGGCGACAAATACAACTAGAACATCTTGCAAACCGGACTTGTACAGCTTGCTATTTCCGTCGGTGCCCTTGTTGGAACTCTCATTAATCCGTTACAGGACTGGTTGTATTTCCGCACAGCATCTAAGAACAACGAAAATTCGGGCAAACCAATCCTCGAAGCACGATTTGTATACCAGCATCCCTGGTTCATTATTATTTACAGGCGGTCTGTTCCTGTATGGCTGGAGTTCGAGACCTTACATTTACTGGATTGTGCCTGCGATTGGAGTTTGCGTTGTCGGAGTCGGTCTTTACTCAGTCTACATAAGTGTTGTCGACTACCTTACAGACTCGTACTAGAAGTACGCTGCCTTGGTGCTATCGGCAGTCTCACCCGTTGTAATACTTTGGCGCCTTCTTGCCCCTCGCGTCATATTCCATACTCACAAATTTGGAAGTCGGTGGGGCTGGCAGCTTGCTTGGATTTATCGGACTCGCGCTGAGTGTGGTCCCCGCCGTACTTGTGATTAAGGGCTGAGAGATTTGGGCCAAAATTCCTTTGACCCAGGACTCTACTTTCGATGATGAGAAAGCTGGTAGAGAAACTAGTGATTAAGTGATCGATTTTGGTGGCCATACCCTGAAACTCGGGCCTGCTGGCGTTTCTCAACGACTGCCTCGAGGGGCGGATGATCGGAGTGTAGTTTCATAATGCATGGAAACTGGCGCCACGGCGAGCAGTTGTCAAATTTCAGGACACGTGACCTTTAGTCCAAGTATCGGTTTGGCCTTGGCTCAGGCCCTGGTCTGCCTACGTGTACTGCTTGCTTCAACTTCACCGCATCTTAGCGGGTTTATGCACCGATTAAGTGAGTCTACAGAAGTCGCTAACTCTGTCACATCGCTGCCTGCTTCACTACTCCATACGTTCGGTAATGAGAGTAGAGCATGTTCTGGCAGCGCTTGCGTTAATGGGAGTGAAGCGTATGCATTAGACTATCAGAAAAGGTTCCACAAGAAGCATTCAGCAAGCCGAACAGACAAAGTCATGGACCTCATCGACATTGTTAGTGTAAGCAAGGGTGGTGTGTGTATTGGGTCTCGTGTATGAGTGTATTCATGTGTGTATGTACAAGTATACGTTCTGAGCTCGATAGTACGCAGACCTGATTAATCATGGCTGGCCTCCAGTGATGTAATGTGGTCCTAGGCTTACAAACTCCCTTCAGGTTCGAATGCATGTTGGGAGCTGATGTGACCGCGGGCCACCTCTCGCCTTATTAAATATGGAGGAATGTATAAAGTGCGGGTTGGAACCGATGACGGAGCTGTTCCAAATGGGCGATCGTCCGCCGCCACAGTGTTGATGGACCTCTGCCCTATGTGATAGGCGCCCCCAGAGCTTGTTTTGAGGTCCTGACTGCTTCACGTTCTATACATGGGATGATGCGTGTCATTTTGGTTGAACAGGTTCGTTTGGTTGAGCAGGCTACTTAGTTGAGCTTGTTGCTCTAAGATGCGAAAATGTTTGAAATGAAAAGTGAAATTCAACGATCAAGTTTTTGTAGGGTAGAAGTTTTGTGAGGCTGTCTGCTAGATAACAGCTAGTTTGTCTGTATAAGATATCGATGCTGTTTGACAGTATTTCTTGATTTGTCCAGTGATGATGGATGTCGACGTATCGAAGGCTTGTTTTGAGGCGGGATGTGACGGCTGTAAGGAGGAGGATTGTTTGTTGATTATTATAGTAAAGTCTCTGCTCGTTGTTCCAGTCAAAACCGATATCCCTCAAAATTCTCTACCACCATATGAGTTCGGTACCTGCGGACGAAGCAGCAATGAATTCAGCCTCTGGAGTGAACTTCGTGATACATCGTTGTAGCGTCGCCTTCCAATTGATAGGACCACTGAAGAGGAAAAGATGTAGCCTTGCGAGCTTTTATGAGTCTTCTTGCCGTCGGCATACGATTACAATAGGACGAACTCCCACTTACGGGAAGGGAAAAAGATATGATGGTGATTGGATAACGCTTATCTGCTGCTATGTATCGCCTTGCTGACTATACATCAGGGGGCGACCACATTGAAATTGTGGTACTTAGCTTCCAGGCCATGTTGAAATTGATCAAAATCCTGGTATCATCTTCCGCGGCCCGCTAAGGTACTCGCCTGACCTCTTCAAGCCCATCAGGACTTCTAGAAAATGAAATATCGACTCTCAATAGTGCAGATCAGAGTCATGGGCTGTACGCTGACTTAGCTTCCTATCTACCTTTCACACCTCGTACCTTTACCGCCCTTTCTTCACACCATCATCTCCACTCAAGTCCCATAATCATCTTTGATAATCACCGCGGCCATCTCAGCAACCATGTACGTCGGTGCCACCGTATGCGCATCAGGAATAACCGGAAAAACGCTCGCATCCACAACTCTCAACCCCTGCACCCCATGCACCTTCAACTTCTCATCCACAACGCCTCCCCTCTCTCTCGGAAGCATAGCGCACGTCCCGGACGCATGCCAAACCGGCACAGCTGTCTGTCTTATATAATCAAGAACTTCTTCGTCGGACTGAACGTGTGGACCGGGCGCTACCTCACCGTTGTTGGGGCCGATGGTGAAGTTGTACGTAGCGAACTTGGCGAGGAGTTTTCGGAGATTTCTGAATGAGTACAGGGCGAGGGCGCGGTCTTCTGGGGTTGTATAATACTGTTGATCAATTTGAGGAGGGTCCGAAAGGCTGTTTGACAATACGGATACGGTTCCTCTGGAGGTTGGCGCAAGAATGGCAGCGGTGAAGCTCACGTAGGAGGTATTGTACTCCTTGCTCGAATAGTAAGGGGAGGGAAGGTTTGGGTAGTAGATAGTCTCATAAAGGTATTCAATGTGCGCTTGGTCAGAGCGGTTCTGGGCAGCTAGTGCTGAGGCGCCGATACTGGCGAGTGTGTCGGAAGAGATCTTCTCGAAGCCGAATGCTAGGCCGACTGGGGCTGTGAGTGGGCCTTCTGCTTCTTTGTATTCTTGCGTTGCTTGTTGAAGCTTCGAATAGTCGTGATAAAGGGGCGAGTACGAGATGGATGGGTCGGCCTCCGCAATGACGCTAAAGTAGATGTGATCTTGGAGACTGTTCCGAGTCAGCTTTGCCATGTAGATCGTGTAGCATATCCCAGCGACCTACTTCTTTCCTACATTCTCGTTAAGAACATACGGCTGGATCCCGGCTTCTTCAAGGATTTCAGTGGGGCCAATTCCCTACACAGATTAACAAAGAAGATTTAGTCGACTATGACCAACATACCGATAACATGAGCAGCTGAGGGGTTTTCAGTGCGCCGGCGCTCAAGATAACCTCCTTCTTTGCCGTCGCGTTTAGCGTCTGACCAGTCGCGTAGTCAATGTATACAACTCCAGTTGCAACAACTGCATCTCCAGCCTTTTCAAGGATGACTTGCTGCACCGGAGACATCTCAAGAACCTTGAGATTCGGTCTGTTTCGCGCTTGCATGTAGTAACTATCGTAGCTTGAGCTACGACGATATTGGTTGTCCATAGTAAACGGCTCATGCTTCGTACCGATGTTTGTGCCGCCATTAAGGTCCTGGACTCTAGTTTTCATTCGTCAGTCACCGACTACTCATCGCGTTGTGTTAGAGTACGTACTTTGGTAGGCCCAGAGCAGAGAGCGACTCAACGAACGCTTCACTCCCAGGGTATGCATACACGTACGGCGGATAAGCAAGTTGCACCGGACCGTCTGCATACAATGAAGCGTTGTAATCCTGCGCGGTAATATTCTCTGCTGAAGGCGGGTTGAACGTCGTAGACTATTTTCGCAACAATTAGCAACTACACGTGCATTTGCAGAGCTGCCGTACCTTCTTGAAGTAAGGAAACACCTCTTCCCAGCTCCAACCGCTGTTGCCCAGTGAAGCCCATAAGTCATAGATACTGAGGAACCTCTCGTGTACGCGAGTCCGTTGATAGCAGAACTGCCACCAAGACACCGTCCCTGGTTGTATATGAGTTGACGGTCGTTCAGGCCAGACTGAGGAAGTGTGCCGAAAGCCCAGTCGATCGGAGAGCCCAGCACCTGAAGGTCAGCCCCAGGTGCCTGATACGAGGCCACCGTATCTGGCCTTGAACCAGCTTCAAGGACTAAGACAGAATGTGTTCCTTCCTCTGTCAATCGTGCTGCCAAAGCTAACCCCGCGGTGCCGCCGCCGGCAATGATAAAATCGAAGCTACCAGCATTCTGGCGTTTTGAGTGTTGAAGTGGTGTAGCGGTACTTAGCGAAAGGATGAGGGTAACACAAACTAAGATTGCACTAGATTGACTCCAGCAAGATGTAGCCATGGCGGAAATTAAGGCGCGATGCAAATGGTTGGGAGGACTATGAACAAGATAAAAGATTCTTAGTCTGCCGAGTAGCGCTTGATGTCATGCATGTCAACCAGATACTGTGAATTAGTATGCATCAGTTCGGCGTCCATGCACATCTCGAGGCAGAATGGCACTGCTCCATGAGGCAAAGTGCTAAGAACGCGGGGAGGCGTCTCCACCTGTTGACGTGTACAAACACTCCTTTTCTGAACGCTCCTTTGACTGAATCTAGGATGGCTCGTGGTTTAGCGAAAGTTATAGTGGAGCTTATGCACGTTCTAAGTGTTAGTTCGGTATTTCGGTTGTCCAGCGCATTTGCTAGTGATCTTTGTAGCCGTGGCGCCCATTCAAGTTCGTGATCGGCAACTTTTCCTGCTGGGCTTGCGGCTGAGAAGGTGTAGATAAGCGAGAAAATCATGGTCGACGATATAGTGGGACGGGTTATCGGTAGATCTCAGGGATTATCAGCCTGCAGGCCGTCGCAAATGGCCTAGCGTTAGTCGGACTCCTGACCCAACGAGGTGCATTTCCGAGCGAGCTATGTGCAGATGTGCAACTCGCCTCGATATCGACCTAACTCAACGGGGACATGCTTCAGTCACACCGCGGAGGATTCTTATACGTTAGTGCGTCACATTTACATCACAGGAATCAAGCTGTTACCGTGTCCGTGCACTCAACGAGCGCGGTCAGTCAACGAGTGCGGGGCACCAACCACCCCAAAACTTCAACCTCATATAACTCCACCACTATGAGCGCACTCGTTGACGCTATTACAGCAATAGAATGTCTGCCATCTGGAGAACCTTTTCGCTACAAGGATATAGCAAACCAGTTTGGTGTTAATCACACTACGCTATCGCGAAGGCACCGAGCTGTTCAAGCGTCGCGTACAAGCGAGGGCCTCAGCCGACGAAAACTCGATCCACAACAAGAGCGGGAGCTTGTACGATATAATAACAAGCTTACAAAGCGAGGTGTACCTCCTACAAGGTTGCTGGTATAAAGTTACGCGTCAAGAGTAGCCAAGAAACCTATCAGCGAGAGCGGGGTTACCCGCTCTCTGAAGCGGAACAGTGACCAACTTAACTCCAAGTGGACCGTCGGTATGAATCGCAATCGCTACCAAGCTGACTCAGAGGCTAAATACAGCCTGCATTTTGACCTTCTGCGTACCGAACTCGCTGAATATGATGTCGAGCCTCGTCACACATACAATATGGATGAGAAGGGCTTCTTGCTTGGTATCACCGGCCGCTCAAAACGAGTATTCAGCAGATGGATGTGGCAGAGGAGGGAGGTTAGAGAGGCCAGCCAAGATGGCAATCGCGAGTGGATTAGCCTTCTGGCTTGTGTGTGCGCGGATGGATCATACTTGCCGCCAAGCCTCGTCTTTCAGTCAGCTTCCGGTAATGTACAATCAAGCTGGGTAGAGGAAATTAAGCCAGGAGAGCACTCCGGACACGTTACCTCGTCACAACCGGGCTGGACAAACAATGATATAGGTCTTGCCTGGCTCGAACAGGTGTTTGATCGCTACACCAAGGCGAAAACTCGACGGTCTTACCGGCTACTTGTCCTTGATGGCCATGGATCTCACATTACCCCAGAGTTTATTGAGTATTGTGATTAACATAAGATACTCCTAGCTATATTTCCTCCCCATTCGACGCACACGTTGCAGCCGCTTGATGTGTGCTTGTTCAAGCCTCTCTCAGAGGCCTACTCCAACGAGCTGTCAGCTTTTCTTGAGAGGAGCCGGGGGCTGCTCCCAGTTAACAATGGTGACTTCTTCCTCCTGTTCTGGAAGGGGCGGGAAGCTCCTTTAAAGAAACGACGATACTCAACTCGTTTAAAGCTACCGGTATATCCCGCTTGAACTCAACGCTATACTTGAAAGGTTTAGCAAAACCAGCCCAGAAGAGCAAGAGTCAAGAGAGAGCTCAACTTCAGTACTTAGTGCCTCAGATTGGAGGAAAATGAGGCGGCTCCTTGAAGAAAACGCCAAGGGTAAGGCAATAAGGAGGTGCAGACGCTTAGTCAATCAATTCACTCTCATTCCATTCGAGCTGACCTGCTTGCCCACGAAAATAAGGGGCTGAGGAAGGCTTTACTTTACAAGAAGAAGCATTCAAAGCGTAGCAAGCCTCTTGATCTTCAGCAGCGTAAGGAGTACTATGGTGGAGCTGTTATTTGGTCACCAAGGAAGGTCCGAGAAGCAGAGGCTCGACGGGCTGCGAGGGAGCGAGAAGAGAAGGAGCTGCAGCTCCAAAGAGCCGAGTCAGCTAAGCTCAAGAAGGCTGCTCAGTCGTACAAGCACAAAATAGCTGAGAAGAAGCGTGTAGCGAGAGAGGCGGCCAAGGTAGTCAGGAAGAAGAAGAAGGCTGAGAAGGCTAGACAAGCAGCTGGACGCGCTCGCCAACGAGAGGCTCACAACGCTGCCAAAGCTCCCCAATTGTCCCAAAAGAGGAAGAGAGAGGCTTCAATGCCTTTCCAACACGCTACCAAGCGTAAGAAACGGGTGGTTAATGCTGCGGGTGGTGAGGAGTCCTTAAGTGGTGCATCAGCAGCTTCACTCAAAACAACGCGCCACGGCCACAACGTCAGGCTTCCAAGTAAATACAAGTAGCACAAGTTGATCGCAAGCATGAAACGAGTACCCCGCCATAAGATCTCGTCAATATAGCTATTATTGGTGGCTCTACAGCCTCAATTTCTGTTGAGCTGTTTTAGTGTTCCGCGCTCGTTGAGTGCAGGGACACGGTATATGTGTTTGCTCGGAGGTTGAATGCAAAGTGAGTGAATGTGATGGGCACAGTGAGAGCGAGGCGGCTTAGGAGCTGTGATTGACGTTCTGACATGCCGGCTTCCCGTGGCACCACCAACGCTTAGCTGAAAGTTGCCTCGCTTGTAGTGGTCAACGCCAAGTGGGTCTGTCCAGTCGACATGATCGGTAAGGCATGAAGCGAATCGCTCCACTTCGATCCTGCAGTCCAATTTCAATATCAGAAGATGGAAACCCAATCAGACCTGCCGTGCCTTGGGGATACGGCGAACCCGATAAAGTGTGGTCGCGCAGTGTGATCAGACGAGCTGTTCCCGTAGAATTGATTGGCAGTCTGTTCGTGGTAGTTGCGACTCTAGGAGGTATTGCTGTATCAAAGGCTGAGGTACGCGCTCTTGTTACTCGACAACAGGTATGATGAGCATCTGGGACAGCCTGAACGATTGGACGCTATCGTCCCTTGATCCTCGAATGTACTGGGCTTTACTACACTGCTTTGGGGGAGCGAAGATCAGGTATCACTGGAGCCTCACCGGAGAATTTCTGAAAAATTCACTCGAGCGTCCACAGGTGGCTGAGAAGTAGCGTGCGTACCTTCGGAAGAAAACATGCGAACGTAAAGAACTGCGCCGGCCATCCCCATGTGTCGTAGCCTCTGTAAAGCTACGTTACCGCAGTCGCGAACGCTTGGATACCTCTTTTGACTTTCAGGGCTAGCAACTGTCCGATTGAGGGCATGGCTGCGTACTAGTACCTTTCCTGGCAGGAATTATAGTTTATCGCAGGACTTCAATTGTATCATGATGACGACCTAGTGAAAGTGACATTTCGTATCGTAGGACATCGCCGATAGCTGGTAGCTGCGCCACAGCTTAAGAAAGCGTCACGCCGCTTGATGGTGTTGACTGCCCTGCATCCACTGTATATGGAGTCTCATCAGTTGGTGATCGAACAAAGCCCGGGCAATGACGCCTGTTACGCATCATGGAATGTGGGGACGCGTGTTATCAGTGAGATTGTTGAGAATAAGTTTGATACGGCCTCTGCTAAGAGCACGTCATGCTATGCTGGCGTCCACGGGTACTCACTCCCAAGCTCGTCTGAGCTTTCTCAAAGCCCAATGCCTTACAGGGTACCTGAGTACGAAGGTCTCAAACGTGGATCAATCACAGGATTTCACCCGAGGTGTATCCCAGGCTTTCGGAATGTGACGACCCTTGGCTATGCAGGTTTCCGTACTGAGGGAAGCTGCTGCCGGGAAGTCCGATGATGTGACCTCAGGTGAGCTGAATGTCGACGTGAGACTCCTAATGAGGAATAATGCAGGTGAGAAAGTGCCAAAAAGGTCATTGGTGGGACGCGCATTGTCTAAAGTAACTAGAGCTGGAGATGCAGACAGCCTTAGAAGTTGAGGTTAGGATCTGCGGCTAGAGTCCAGGCTTCGCATGACATGACGTAGATACGCGAAAAAAGAACATATCCGATGACACAATCACACGGTAACGAAACTGGATGCCAGCCTCGGGCAACCTCACCTTCTTTTTGCGGACTTTGCTTGTCTTCTCTTTCATTGATCAAAACCCCCGACGGGTGTCTCCGGAGTCGTCAACAAGGGTGCCCAACCATGCCGTCGCAGATCGATAAGCGGGCCCTGCCGGGGAAGCGAATATCGACGGGAAAGGCTAAAAGGAAAATTCCAAAAGCCAAAGACGTATCCACTACCTCACTCAGAGGTCGAGCAGTGGATCCTTAGTTGCATTGGCTTGATGCAGCCAACTACGAAGCAAGCGCAGCCTCCCCGCGTACTCCCGTATGGTGGAGCTTGTGATAGGCTAGAGCCTAGTTAGTGTAGTGTTCCTCGGTGGAACCTTCGAGGCTTACTCGGTGTTCTGGGAATCGCTAGAAGCTTCTCGAACACAGCACTACCGGGTGTTTATAGACTCAGCATGAGCAGTAGATAGGAGGGCATCGAATACAATCCTGTTACCAGGCATCAGCAACCTTTGCGTAGCCCCTTACACCCTCTTGGTCCTCGCTATCTGTCCCGAGCGCTTATATCATGTGTCAACAAGCTAAAACATCTTCGCGAGGGAAAAACTCCGGCCAAGGATGAAAAAAGCCAGCAAGATGAGGAAGCAAAAGGGAAAGAGAATCCAGATGAAGGACTACAACGGCCTCGTAGTGCGTCATCTCAAAGTGTAGTTCAACAAGAGGAAGCCAGTACCCCCAGCGAGGGTGCATGGGACGGCCAACTGAGCAACCGTCGGTCAGAACTTCGCGTTCTTATTGTCGACGATAACGCACTGAACACGAGGCTCCTCGGGGCGGTTCTGAAGAAGTATGGCTGTCGCAACATCCAAAAGGCGGAGAACGGAGCCGTAGCGGTTGAGGCGGTCAAGAAGCATCCAGAGTGCTTTGACATCATCTTCATGGGTACGCTCTTCTTCCGGGTCTCCTATCTATCTTTCGTTATCTCTCCTACTACGTCTGCAGCTACCACATTTTTAATTGGAGGAACGCTGCACTTCCTTAGGCACACCACAAGAATGTCTTGCGGAAATTCCCATCTGTACACGACTAGGTTCTGACTAGGCTTACAGATCTATCAATGCCTGTCATGGACGGTTTTGAGACTATTCGGAAGACTCGCTCCATAGAAAAGGAACGGGGCTTTTTGAGACTGACGACTGATGCACTTACCCCGGCTGTTATAGTCGCCTTGACGGGATTAGCCAGTGATCGCGACGAGGAAAAGGCTTACGCAGCTGGCGTAGATTTTTTCATTACGAAGCCTGTGCGGTTAGAGAGTCTAGAACATGTGCTGAAGCAGTATGAAGACAGGACTCTTTGGAGCAATAGTCACCACTCAGAGTGAATTGGGAAGGGTCGCAATCTTTACCTTTATTGCCGGCAGCACGGGGACTACTCAGTCGGTAATAATCAGACGAAAGATACCCTTGTATCACTGTGGTTGACGGGGTAAGTAGTCAATGTGGCGATTGAGGACAGCGTGTCCATCAACCAAGTAACTTACTTGGTTGACATCAGGGCGCTAGAGCACTACAGTGGGCCGGACTAAATTAGTTGGAACCTTAAGCACCCACGCGCAACACTGGCCAATCACCTCAAGACGATCTGCTTACGTTTAAGGAACCGGTTGAACCGGTCGGTCCAGAGGGTCCACAGTTGCTTGGTGCCCTGGTGTCAACCAAGTAACTTACTTGGTTGATGGACACACTGCTTGTCATCTGGATGGTCCACTAGTTCAGATGTTTTCTTCTTTTCGAGCGATGCAAGTTCGGCGTCTGCAGCATGCCGGAATCCCTTGCCTTCAGGATGTCGCTTTAGCTGGTGCCAGAAGTCTGGTGGCGGCAATAGGTCTTTCCGGTGTGTGAGAATAGACTGTGCTGTTGCGAAAGCGTGAGCCACTTGCTGACCGAGTCTAGCACGCTCTAGTCGAAGAGTATGAGCTTCGCGTCGTGCTCTCTTTTCTGTATACCGTTGCGTAGCATGTGTGTGGGAAGAGTCAACGGCGTCTTGTCCCCTTTGCGACAGTCGGATATTTCTTCCAGAACTGGTGCGCAAGTTTTGGAGAGCAGTTGCGTCGGGATCAGTGTCTCTTCTTGGCCCAAACGTCTCCTGCATAGTACTGGCTTGACGTGGAACTGATCCAAAGGACACTGGAGTGGGGTAGGGCCATCGTACAGATGCGCCTCTCGAGATGTCTTGTGTAGACGTCTCCTGTAGAGATGCTACGTCTTTTGAGCCTGTAGGCAATGTCTCTTGATCCCGCGATTCAGCTGACGCTTCTACTAGCTCTGCAGTATCACTTCCATTGGGAAGCGCGTCCTCGTCTGACTCCTGCAGGATCCGCACTCTGTTTTCTTCAAACTTGCTCATATCCATCGTGCTCGTGCGTATGCCATGTGCCAGGATGCCGTACGTCGGGATCTGCACTGTAGTCCCATTTATAATGCGGTGGGCCCAGTCGTCCGCAAACTGTCGCAGCACCTCGACCCCGCTGCTGCTAGCTGTCTTGACGCTCAAGTCTCCGCTCTTTAGCTGGTTAGATGAGATAATCTTCACGCTTGTTATGTTCTCGTTGTCGCTCTGCTCGATAGCACGCTGGACATGAAGTTTCAGGTTGCTGGGGTTCATTGCCCTGAGGCTCTGTATGGTGAGCGGGTCCCTAATGTTCACAATGACCTCACGCTGTGTCTGCACAGAGGGTGCTTTGAGAGTTTGTGCATTGTATGTACCTGCTAGTGGGACGCCTTTAGCTGCCGCTGTAGCGTAGCTTGTTGGTCCGTTCGCCTGCTCTTGTTGTCTTTTGTTCCTGGTCTCTCGCGCCATCGCTAGCGTCGCTCTACCCACCTCTGTGGCGTCTTTGGTCGCTGCCCTCGCCTCATCTGCTGTGTTGCCATTCCGTTGTATGTTCGCTGCAGATTATTGAACGAGTTCTGTGGTGGATTTGAGCTCTTGCTTGATCTGATCGAGGGCCTGCGCTGTGTTTTCTGCTGTGGCTCTGGCCTCGGTTCGTGCGACGTTGAGGGCGTCGCCGAGGCTGCTGAGGTCGGGGGAGTGCTGCGTCTTTAGGACGAATGTCAATGCGCCGCGTATGATGTCGCCGACGAGGTCTGCTGGCAGAGGTTGTTGGCCTCCATTGCGCTCGATTAGCGATAGTATCTCGCGGAGGAAAGCGCTGAGGTTGGTAGCGTGCTCGTCTATTGGAATCGGCCAGGTCGACCTTCGAGGCCACGGTGTCGCCATGGCGCCTCAGCAGCAGTGGGCGCTACTTCTGAGTGCTCGCTAGTCGAGTGCCATCTCTATCAGACGTTTGCGTGCGTTCAACTAAGTCGATTCCAAAAAGTGAAATTCTCGCTGTTGTCGTGTTTTTACGGGACAGCTGGTTCTCTTTGCAGGAATGAACTGGGGCCGTGCGGATCAACACCCGCACCGCGTCGGCTGTCTGCCACGTTTGCTACACCGGGCATAGCCGCGCAGTACGACCGAGTAGGAGACCGTATAATAGATCACACTAGCGCGCATCATCTCGGCGACTAGCCCCACCTGCGCAGGCCAAATACCACTCGTTACCCACATGCGGCGCGAATTTGGCGAGCTGGTGAACCCCCGACATACGAAAGCCGCATTGGGCTTGTGCTGGATCGCGATTGCGCGTCCATACTGTGAAGTTTTGCGTCGGCAGAGTCAAGCTCCGATCGTGACCCCCTTCTTAAGATCAACGAATCAAACCGCGAGTTGGAAGTGATGCACGAACAAGGCTTTTCCTATATCATCGAGATCTGCGGTTCGCTATTTCTCTGATTGGGCGTCCCTGAAGTTTAGTAATCACCATTGACGTCCTGTTGATTCCGCTTCCCGGGCCGCCTCTCTAGGGCTACCTTGAAGTATACCCAATCGATTGATGCCATGATAAGAGCTTGAGCCTTTATCGTCCGCATCAGCCATCTAAAACGACACAGTCTACCTCAACCAGCATTACACGGCCATATGTGCGTGCCTGCCTCTAGCAGTAACATAATCCACCGCTTCCAGGCTTCTCGTTCATTAGGGATGAAGACGAATGACTCGGGTCCTGCGCGTTGTGCTGGATTTGTTCCACAGCCTTCGGATAGTTCTGAACTTTATACTCGACTCAATCAGGTATGGAAGACTCTATCTTCCTTTACAATAAGTCTGACTCTGCTAGGTACTAGACAACGCCGAGCTCATCAATGAGTTCTCTCAATTCTATAGACAACGAACACACGGAAACGAATGCATCGGTGTTACTTCCCAGTCAATTCCTACACTGGGAGAGATAAACGATATGTTGAAGCAAGAGGAAGAAATCCGAATGTCGCTCAAGCGCGTACGGGATATTGTCCTCAGTCATCACCACAGAGCTCCTGCATTCACATCCGAAGATTGTAAGCGTTCATGAGACGTTGCGACAAGACAACTAGAGTTGGTATGGTCCCTTGGTCTGAGGAAAGCCGAAACTTAGGGCTAATAGTCTGCAACAGGACAACGAAAGTCAGCGCTGAGAAAGGGCTGGCGACTTCCTGACGGCGGTGGGCGTCAAGTCAGCTCTACTCTGACTTCCAGAGTTCATGGAGGAGAAGATCCCCTTGCACTCTGATCACTCCATGATCGTTGAGTTTGATGCGTGGAGTAACCGAGGGTATACTAGCACACGGGACAAGCTTCAACAGTGAGGAGAATGCTCCGAATGTAGTCACGGGCCGGTTTTATAAATAGAGCTGTGTACAATGCGTTCCACTAAGGTATCTACTCGTTTCGCGCGATGCCTATGGTAAAAGCTGCGCGGTACCCCTGCACGCATTTACTGTGTGCGTACAGACCCCAGCTAAATCCAAGTCCATCTCTCCTCCATCAGATTTTCTCTATTGATGGCGCATCCTACATGTGATGGCGGGCCGCTCCGGCGATGAAGTGGCTAGGGATGTAGCATAGCCTGGCATCCGTCTGCTCCTGTCGTGATCGTGATCTTGATCCTGCGTGCACGCTGGTTCTCTACGAAGCGTCGAGTTATGCTACTCTACCTGACTAGCTCTCCCCAGCGTTAAACGTCCCCATGACAAGCTCCCGAAGCACTTGCATACACTCTCAACCGTCTGTGGATGGGTTGAACGCTTGCGTTTTCCAGGAAGACGCCTACGTAGCGATAACAAGTCCTGGCTGGCTTGCTGCCGGTCGATCCCGCTTCGTTTTTGCCATAGTACCGCCGCCAGCGCCATACAAACAACTGGAAGAGAAGGATATGACTCCGAAACAACCTCCATGTGCAGGAGGACACCGTAGCTGTGTCGCAGCGAGCTCGCCCTGAGGCAGGTGTAACGGGCTAGAGCCCGGATGCTATAGTGATCCTCGGTGGAACCTTCGGAGCCTCCTCGGCATTCTAGAAGCTTCAAGATGCTACGCGAACGATAAGCTAAACGTATATAGATATCGCAGCACCATAGATAGGTTTTCTTCTTTATCGAATACAATCCTGTTACCAGGCATCGGCATACTTTGCGCAGCCCCTTACAGCTGCTGTCGCTATGCAGTCCATTCTCGTCCTCTCCTGAGATCTCTGCTGTATCCGATCCGACGTCCTGCTCCTCGTCCAGATTTGTCTCGTCCTGTTCGTCTGTAGCCTCTTCGTCAGTCTCTCCATCTACTTCGCTTCCACTCTGGCTGTCGTCAGCAGACTTGTCAACAATCAAGTCAATCAAGTCTCAGCTTCCGGCTTGACTTGAGGCTTGAACATCTGTTGTGAGGCTTGATTGATTGGCTTGTTTATAGTTTTCAGCTTGAGGCTTGATTGGAAGCTTGATTAGCTTGGTGTTATACAAATCAACTGCCTATACTAAGTACTCGTTCTCGTGATCCCAATCGCACAATCGGTATATAGCGTCTATATCAGCGTCAGTTATAGTCGCTACGGCAGCGTTACCGCCCTGATCAAAGCCAGCCCTATGCCACCGCCGTACGCACTGTATAGCGGCTAATAACTGAGGTGAGATCTGCCGTCTCCGAGGCTCAAGGAGATCGCCAAGCTCGCTAAACATGCGCTCACACTCGCAGCTTGAAGCTGGGATAGAGAGCACGTCAATAGCCATCTGCGAAAGGTTAGGGTAGCGATCACGCAAGCCTACCCAGTATTTAATAGGGTGAACCGCAGCGTAGCTACCCTTACTAGCCTTCGGTTCGCACGCCTTCCACCTCTCGTACTCATCCATATAGCCGTCGGTAGCAGCCATAGCGCCATCTGGGTCTAGGAGAGCATCAATTGCGTCGTCGATCTCGTTAGAGATAACCTTTGGGCGCCTTACAGCACGCAGTAAGGTGTTGTACTCTGCCCAAAGCTCCTGAAACGCGCGGTCATTAGCCTCTAGCCACTCAGGTTTGTCCGCCCAAGCGACCTCGCAGTACGTTTTGTAGCGCGGATGGAGTAGAGTTGCAGCGTAGTACGCGGGTGAGAGGTCAAGCTTGTTGTAGTAATCACTAGCCTTCGCCCAGGCAGCGCGGAGGTTAATCGCAACGTGGTCTTCGGGCGCTTCGTCATGCGCGTTATAGTCAACAGCCTCATAGGCTTCCACGCGTTGCTCGTAGTAAGTAAGTATATACTCAAAGACTGGGATAACCTCAGCGATAGCACCGTAATGACCGCCTCCAACGCGACCCTCAGCGTCTTTGCCACGTCCTTCTAGGCGCTTTGTTGCCGACTTCAGCGGCTTCAAGACGTCGATATACTCGGTAACAACTGCCCAGTCAGTAGCTGTGAGGCCGCTAGATCGCATCCAGACCGCAGCCTCAGGTAGCTTGTTGCCACGGCTAATCGCATATGTATCCTCATCTCGCACGCGACATATATGATGATGGGCATAATCATTGACAGCGGGCTGCAGCTTAACAGCGCGCTTAAAGGCGGAATAATACGAGTTCTAGCGCGTGACGACTGGCTTAACAGGCGCAAGTACTTCGCGCTGATTAGGGGGCAGCTCAGCGTTGGCTAGGCGCTGGAACTTTTCAAAAAGCTCGAGCTGCTGCGGCGTTTTAATGTAGTTGATTACGCTAAGAAGTACGCTAAGTGGCCCATCCCCGCGCCAGTTGCGTAACAACTCGCTCTCAACAGCAAGCTCGCTGCTATCGTTGTCATACGCATCGTTATTGCTGCCCCAAAGTAAAGCCTGACCAATCAAGTTAAGAGTATGAGCACCGCAGCGGAGGCGACGATGGGCAGCATTTAAGCCCATCTGCTGCGCGATGCTAAGGACAGCAGTGTCGTTATTAGTAGCGTTGTCGAGCATAAAGTAGCCAACAGTACGCGAGTTGATGCCGAACTGCTGCAGAGTTTTGCTAACAACCTCTGCAATCTTCTCGCCAGTATGGGCGCCCGTTAGTTGGGGCAGCGCGATAGGGAGGTCTATAAGGTCACCAGCGCTGTTAACGTAGTGCGCAACAACGCCTAAGAAGCCGCGTTTACCGCCCTTTGTTGTCTAACTGTCAAAACTGATGTGAATCTTGCTAAGGGCCTTCGACAGATCAATGACAACCTAGGGTAACATAAAGTCGAAACGACGCATCACGTACCGTGAAACGCTTGCGTGAGACGTCCACAACGCCGTAGCTGCCTCTACGTTTGCAGCTTTAAGCATCTATCTAAATGCAGGCCTTTAAAACTCAGAGAGCGGGTAGTTGCCGTCGACAAGCTAGGCGACTGCGGCATGTCGAAAGGCCTGACAATCAAAGCCCCCAAGCTCATTAGTAAGGCCCTGCGATACCTTAACGCTAGCGGCTTTTAATAGGGCGCGCAGGCTACCTTTGCCTGCCTTTATTGTGCTGTGCGTTTTACTAGGAGCTGTAAGGCTATGGCCGCGTCTAACTTGCTCAAGGTGGCGGGCTAAAGTTGTTGTTAAGAGCGTCGTTTCGTATATACCGCCCTGCCCAGCGTCTATCCACTTGCGCTGGTGGCAATAGCAACAGACGAAAAAGAGACGATCGGGGTCCTTGATAAGCGCAACGCGGTATCCATAGCGGTATATCCAGCTTTTGCGCTGCTTCTGGGTGGCTACAGGCTTGCAATATAGCGGCAAACGCGACCAGTCTATGCCGTCAAAGTTGTCGGCAAAGCGCTCATCAGGACCCTTGTCCCTATCCTCATTGCCGTCCTCGTCATCCTCAGTTGTAGCAACCGTCGCGGCGCTGCTGCCCTCAGTTAGTGCTACGATAGCGGCTTCAGGCTGGCTCTCGCGCAACTGCGACTCGGAGGTGGGCGGCTCGGTGGCCTGGGACGCGGCAGTCGCCAGGGCTTTGCGTGGTGATAGACGCTGAGCTGGCTGTTGGCTCTTGTCGACGTCGATAGGCTGCGACTCTGTACCACGAGCAGCGACTCTAGCGCGCTTGTTTGGTGTAAACGCGTCTCTGCGCGGACGTTTGGGGGGTTGATTAGGCGGCATAGCGACGATAGAGGCAAGTATAACACGAAATAACGCGTCGGTATACGCGAATTAGTAGGCTTTAGCGGCTCTAAAAAGAATGTGATCACGTAAAGGTCGTCGCGGAAGTATAGCTAACTAACGTTATTAGTACTAGTATTGGTAAGCGAGACTCAACACCATGAAACTGTTGCGAGATAGCTCACACAGCAAACTTAATAGCCTCACCAAAATTAACGCTAAAACACCAAGCCAATCAAGCCAATCAATCAAGCCTTTGCCACTAAGGCTTGATTGATTGCAAAATTACTAGGCGGAGGCTTGACTTGATTGACTTGCAGTTTTCGTCAAGCCTCAATCAAGTGCTTGTTTGCAGCTTGATTGTTGACAGGTCTGAGTCCTGCACATTGGCGACTGGCACAACCTGATCGAAACTGGTGAAGAAGGGATTTCCAAAAGGCATAGTTGCTGAGTTCTGGTTCGCTGGAGGAGCCGCATATGTATCAGGTCGGTACTCCGACAGTGGCTCGAAAGGCTGTTGACGAAGGGAGTTAGGGTCGAAGGTCCCACTACTGACCATTGGGTTCTGGGAAAAACCTGGTTGTTGCCAGTACGCAGTGGTCTACTCAGTGAACACCAGACTTGTCAACAATCAAGCCAATCAAGCCGATCTAACCAAATCTAGTAAGATCTTAGCCTACCCGAGCTAGTGAATTACCATATTAGGTTAGATCGGCTTGATTGGCTTGATTGTTGACAAGTCTGGTGAACACGCAGTGTGTCCATCAACCAAGTAACTTACTTGGTTGACATCAGGGCGCTAGATCACTACAGCGGGCCGGACTAAATTAGTTGGAACCTTAAGCACCCACGCGCGACACTGGCCAATCACCCCAAGACGATCTGCTTACGTTAAAGCAACCGGTTGAACCGGCCGGTCCAGAGGGTCCACAGTTGCTTGGAGCCCTGGTGTCAACCAAGTAACTTACTTGGTTGATGGACACACTGTACCCCACACACCGCCATTCTTCGTTCCAACCAACATCCTTCAATCGGCACCCCCAGCGCACTACCAGGCGAGGCCATCAAATATACGTCGCCAAAGCAGAAACTCCACCATTACCGCATCCAGCGTCGACGAAGAAGAAGCCTCCACTGACCGGGAAGACGACGTACCTGAATCCCAAGCCAGCTAAATGGCGAGGAATCTTCTTCAAAGAGCACAACCCACCAAGGGCATGATGTCCGCCCCACCACCAGCCCAACCAACCAACCTCGTCCAAAGCAAAATCTTCGGCCAGGTCAAGAAAGGCCACGGCCTAACCCGTGCCGGCGAACTAAAGCGAGGCTGCATGCCCTCGACAGCGGATCTCCGCACTCAAATGAGTCCGCCGAAGCGCGGACCGCTCGATCAAGGTGTAGGTCTCGGCATTGGCGGCTTGTTGCGAGAGTAATAGAACTTTTTTCCTGACCATGCGCGGCAGGGAGTTTACCAAGCTTATTAAGTTTACGATTTTCATGATTCTAAGATTATGGTGGTTATGAATACTCTGGTTTGGATATCCTTTCTGGCAGTGAATGCTGTTTGAGTATGGCGCTAGCTAGCGCAGCTAACTCTGAGCTTGGCTGATTATTTTATGATTGTTTATGGATGATGGGGGATGTGGTTAGATACACCGTTATTGATGGTGATGAAGTGTGGAATATTAGTTTAGACAGAACTTGAACTCAATGTGTAAGCCGGCGCTACTGCAGTGCTTACTACATTCCTCCACTACATCTGAGCTGCATCGTCACTCTTCTACAATACACACAACATACACTCTTCATACTACAATCCCATGCTTACACAATGTACATGCACAACCGCTCATGAATCGTCGTGAAGGCTTCTTAGAGACGATGAGGACGACGCCGAGGATGAATTAGAGTCGCCAGTGACGCCAAACTTATCTTCGAGACCCGAATCTGGAGCGATAGCCTAGCGTGGCTGGACCATCATCCGATGCTATTAATGGCACTCTTTGGGGGGATAACCATGCTGATGCTCGTATCATCAGAGATGTCACATGATAGTGCGCTGAGTTGATGATGGTCGCGGCGTTCTGACCACGCCATGACGAGCATCACGCCCAGAACGCATTCATCTTGCGCATCTAGTGGATACACGCTGGTAGGTATACCAGATCAGAGCCTTCTAACCATACTCTTGTTGTCGAATACGGTGTTGTTGTTGGTCTTCGTTATGGCTGCACGCGGCTGCCTGCATGTTTGTTGTTTCGCAAGAAAACTGTGTAAGCGATTGAAATGCGCGAAACAAATGAGTACTGCAAATCTGCAATTGCTAAGCTACATTAAGAAATTTAAATCGTGATCACAAATTCTAGTGATCTGTGGCAGCTGCCGCGTTTGTCAACTCCTAAGACAAGGGGGTCTTTACCATGGCACATGACTGCCACATGGGATCGCGAGACAAGATCCGCGCCGGTGTATTCGAATGCTCTAGTAACAGAATTACCAAGATGGTGGTCGTACTCCGCTTGCTATGATCGATAAGAAGCTTGAGAAAAATAAGCTTCCACCAGATTCAACAAACAGGGGGTATGTCTAGTTACAGGGGGTTGTGTCAAGTTACAGGCACAGCCTGCACAACGTGCACTAGTTCCGATGTCCGTTGTCTGATTTATGTGGTTTCAGTGTCGCTATTCGTGAATCGACCGAGGATAACGTCGGGATCGAAGGGGTGTATGCCTGTTGCGTTGAACGAGCTGAAAATGTTCTTTTCTGTGAAGCTGGCTACCCAAGCGTCCCAGAAAAGTGAGAAGAAATTTGCTTTCTTTACAGGAACTAAGCCACGGTGCTTGTGAAGGCGTGTTGCTAGCTTCTTTGAGTACGCTGTGCTGAGAGGCTTGAACATTACTACATCCAGCGGCTGCAGCGTATGGGTGCTGTGAGGCGGATAAACAGCTAAGATTATCTTGTGCCGGTGACAGTACTCCAGAAAGTCCTCGGTTAGATGGCTCCCATGGCCATCCACGAGCAGCAGGCGGTACTTCCTCCGAGCTTTGGCTGCTGTAAAGCGATGGAAAACCTGCTGGAGCCAAGCAAGTCCAAGACCATCGTTGCTCCAGCCGCTCTATGATGTGCCGAAGAAGCACATATGCTCGCCTGCTTTTACATCCTCCACCCAGGTGTCTTGGATGTTTTTTGACTCTGCCGCATATATGAGGCCTGGTGGCAGAGCTGTACCGTCCGCGCAAACGCATGCCAACAGCTCCAATCATGAAGCCCTTCTCGTCCATATTGTAAGTGTTCTCCGGCAGGATGTCGTAGAACTGTATCTTCTCGTGCAGAAGCTCAAAGTAACGTGTGTACTTTTCACCAGAATCAGCGTTGTGACGATCGCGGTCCATAGACGTTGACCATTGAGAGGTGAGCTGGTCGTCATTACGGTGGACAAAGCGGCCAACCCAGGCGTCGGAGACAGGTACCTGAGCAACATCTGATGCATAAGTTTGCACCATCTCCCTTGTAGGTGGTAAGTGTTCTTCTGTGAGTTTATCTATGTACTTGACAAGCTCTGCCTCCTGTGGTGGTTGCAGTTTGCGGCGTGCTAAACCTGCCTCTTCGCGGGAACGCGTGTTGCCTCGCCATCGTCGCGTCAACGTTGACCGCACCACATTATGCTTTGTGGACAATTGCGACCACGGAATATCTTCTTGGCGTTCGAAAGTACCTGCCTCTGCAAGCGCTTCTTTTAGGCCCATCGTGGTGTTGTGCAGTAAGTACTCAAAAAAGGGTGTATGCGACGCGTCCCGCGCATTGACTGATTGTGCGCATTGAGTGCACGGACACGGTATATCGGGGACTTTTTGGAGGGCAGACGTGGCTGTCGATTATCATAATTGGTGCGCGATCCCTCCGCATGGTTCAACGGACATCGTATAACATCCTCTGTTGGGTAATCTCAACCCTATGTCGAGCTGTAAAAAATCAGTCACGGGCCAGCGCTGCCGTGGAATGAACTGTATTACTAATCGTTCCGTATGATTGCTTAAATATAAGCTGGGCTCAAAAAACAAACACATACGCTCTCCTCTGACTGTCGCACGTCTACAACACCCGCACGCAGCTGTGCGACAGCAACACATCCCACGAAAGCGTGCCCTTAACTTATTGCCCCATCAAAACCTATGTGCCGAGCTAAGGATTGCGGAGTGCCGCTGCAATGTGCCCACCCACCTGGATCCGTCCATGGGTCGCTTTGCCGAGGAGCGCCAAACGCCGCAGAAATCCTGGGCTAGTATCCACTACTGCCTGTAGGTCTGTCCAACTCAGTTATGCTGCGCACCCCACCAAAATCGACACGACTTACCACACAGCAACGAAGGCGACACTACAACAAAAAACCCAGAGGTTTTCGAAGAATGTAGCTTGAGCCTTCCTTTGCATCTTATCGAACTACCCTTATCAAGCTTCAGATTCACACAAGACAGCCAAACAACAACCTGATTTGTGTCTGGTCCAAGTGGCCTGCGCTTCTTCGATCTTCGATCCGCCACAACGCTCGCGCACCTCCTCAGCACGCATTTTGGAACAGCAGCAAACCTATCGCAGTCACCACAAGCCCGAAACACAACACGTGACGTGACGTCATTGTCGAGTACGTACTAGAGAGTTCGCAACTATACGGGTGAGGCAGCCACTGTCATTATGCAGGGCGATTCTCCAGAGCTGGGAAGCTCCCTGCAGGGCCCCAAGATGGCCATCCCTAGGCTCAAGCGTGCTCCACCACCGTCACCGCCACCCATGTCAAGTGAGAGGAGTAGAGAGGGCCACGTGTACGTTGTGAAAGTCAACAATGCTCTTTTGCCTCCGTGCTGATGATCTTCTAGAGCCCGAGCTTGTACAGCATGCCGTAAACGAAGTTGGTGTCCCTCATTCTGCAACTACATTGAACTTGTCTGCTTACTCAGCTAGAAATCAAATGTTCCGGCGAAGTGCCGCATTGTTCCAACTGCCGACTCAAGTCATCGAACTGTATCTATGAGCAAGCTCGGAGAGATCGTCTGAGAGAGTATGACCATCCGAAAACCTGAGTCTTCACTTGCTGAAAGCGTACAGGGCCACACAGCTGAACCATACACTGGCAGCCCTTCTCCGGGATTTGAGCGAGCACGTTGACAATGACAACAAGCAGAGGATTGAAGATGCTCTCGAACATGTAAGCTTGCTCTTATATGTTACATCTAGCTCTACTCGTCGTTGTGCATGACTAATTTTTGTTTCGTCTAGGCTGCCGACGACATACTCTCACATGCGACGAGCGCGTCTCTCAATTTGGGAAAGCGCAGCAGGAAACCATTCACTAGTGAGGATGAGGATGGCGAAGCACATGGTGAAGCACACGTGACCGCATCGGTTGGTTCGAACGAGGATCTCGACCATCTCGACGAGGACTTGATGCGTGATCATGAATCGAGGGCTACCGGCTATGTTGGTCTAAACTCTGAAGTTCAGTGGCTCCGTAGTGCACAGCGCCAAACCGAAGATACGGGAGCAGAGCCTTACGGTCAACCACATGGCCCACCAGGCTCGACACGAGATGCTGCCAGTGAGCGCTCGGATGCTCTCCATGACCGTCGGGACGATATCCAAGAGCACTCAAGACAAGGCTCAATGAGGTATATGAACGACACTACGTTCTACCTCGACAGCGACGACATCGAAACGGATATCTTTGTCGATCCTTACGAAGACCCAGACCCTGATATAGCAGAAAAACTGTTCAACTGCTATTTTGAGACTGTTCATCCTTCCTTTCCCCTTGTAAGCTCCTCTATAGTCAAATGCCAGTAGTTGTTGTTGTTGCTGACTGAGTATTTATATTTATCAGGTACCCCAAACCTTTGCAGACCAGTCCCGCAAGTACCTAGGCGCGCTAAGGCATAATAATGCTTATCAGGTACCCCGGAAGTGGCGAACTCAAATGAACTTGCTTTTGGCCATAGGAGCAAAATACTCTCATCTCATCGGCGCCGAATGGAGAGGGGATGATGGCGATCATTTGGTATACATGAACAGGGCCGTGCGTCTTCTCAGCCTGAAGAACACTGTTATGATTATTTCAGCGCCGGACCTTGGACTTGTACAAGCGGTAGGGGTTACACAGCTTCATCTTTAGCTTAGCCATGGACTGTACTGACTAGAACCCCCGCAGACCGGCGCCTTGGCATTCTACTTCCTAGTGATAGGCCATGTGAGCAGGGCATGGATCACTATTGGAATATCAATACGACTCGCGCTCGCTCTTGGTCTTCATTTGCGGAATGAAGACCCTGGAGCAGAAGAATCAAAGAAAGAACTGCTTGTGCGCACCTGGTGGAGTTTACAATCTACTGAGTCTCTAGTCAGTGCGATCACCGGAAGACCACCCGTGATCGCTTTCGAGGAC